GGCTCCATTGTAGTCGAGATTATTGTGAAGGACCAAATGAAGAGGATTAGATTGAAAGAAGTCCTATATGTTTTAAAAATGAAGAAGAACCTCCTTTCGGTGAGCAAATTTGTATCACATGGTTGTAAGGTTCAATTTGATATGAATGGATGTTTTGTCAAGACATTGGATGGCGAACATGTTGCCAAAGGCCTTAGAGATAGAAATCTCTACTTCATCAATTGTAAAAAGGTGAATGGAATTGAAGAGGCGACATTTGCTAATTTTTCACAAGATCAAGACAAGTTTGAAATTTGGCATCAACGACTTGGTCATTTGAATGCCAAATGCATGAAGGAGCTCCAATCCATGGTAAGTGGCTTGGATCTTGGTCAATTCAGCCACAATGCCATGACACTTGCTTGTGAAGGATGTATACGAGGCAAACAATAAAAGGCTTTATTTCCAAGTGGAGTTGCAACATGTGCAACAAAATTGTTGGAGATTGTGCACTCAGATGTTTGTGGATCAATGAAGACACCATCAATTGGAGGAGCAAGGTACTTTGTTACATTCATTGATGATTTTTCAAGAAAGGTGTGGATTTATATCATTAAAGCTAAGAATGAATGTTTCTCAAAGTTTAAGGAATTTAAGGCTGTTATAGAGAAACAATGTGAGTGCAAGATCAAAGTGTTGAGAACTGACAATGGAAGTGAATACATGTCAAAGAATTTTGATGACTTCATGAAGATTCAAGGTATTGTAAGACAAACCTCTACTCCTTATACTCCACAACAAAATGGAGTTGTTGAAAGAACAAATCATACCATTGTGGAGATGGCAAGGAGTATGCTTCATACACAAAATCTTGGGCATGAGTATTGGATGGAAGCTATGGTAAATACGATGTACATAAGGAATAGGTGCCCTAAAAGTGCACTTATATCAATAATTCCACAAGAAGCTTGGAGTAGGAAGAAACCTTATATTTCACACATGAGGATTTTTGGATGAATTATTTATGCAAAGGTACCAGATTGTATGAGGTCCAAACTTGATGCAAAAGGTGCAAAATGTGTATTTGTTGGATATTGTGAAGGTACCAAAGCATATAGGCTAATGTGTTTAGAAACTAAGAAGATTATCAAAATTTGCGATGTAGAGTTTTTGGAGCATAAGAGTATTTTTGAGCACTTGGAAGAGTGTCTAAGTGGGAGTAAAGGTATATTTGTGGACACATCTTCAAGTTCAGCAAAGAAAAAAAAAGAAGAAGATGATGATGAAAATGAGGATGGAAGAAATAGAAGTCAAGATCAAGTGCCAAAGAAGATAAATCATAGTGTGCGTTCAATTGCTAGAACCAAAAATGAAGACAATGAAGATATTGAAGGTGATGATGATGATGAAGAATATCAACCTTTGAGTGAGAAAAGACAAGCATGGAGGAAGAAGAAGGATGAAATGCAAGAAGAAGGGTCTTCTTCAAATGAAAGGAGATATCCTTTGAGAGAAAGAAAACCACGTGGTGAATGGTGGAAGGACCACATCTTTCTTCAAATAAGTGAAGAACATGCCAATATTGCACTTCTTGCTGATCCGTTGAGTTTATGTGATGCAATGAAGTCCATGGATGCTATAAAGTGGGAGAATGCTATGAAAGAAGAATAAAAATCACTCATAGACAATGGAACATGGGAATTGACTCAACTTCTATTAAATCGATCTTCAATTGGTTGTAAGTAGGTGTTTAGAACCAAAAGGTATACAATGGGCAATATTGTGAGATACAAGTCTAGATTGTTTGCCAAAGGCTACTCACAAGTTGCTTGTGTAGATTTCAATGAGACATTTGCTCTCGTGGCCAAATTCACCACTATTAGAATTATTGTGGCAATTAGGGCAACAATGGATTCGGAGATACATCAAATAGATGTGAAGACGGCTTTCTTGAATGGAAGTTTGAAAGAAGACATCTACATGGATCAACCTCAAGGATTTGTTGAAGAAGGCAAACAACACCTTGTTTGTATGTTGAAGAAATCCTTGTAAGGGCTAAAGCAATCACCAAGGGCATGGTACCAATGAATTGATATATTCTTTGTGAATGAAGGATTTGTAAGGAGTGAGGCTGATCATTCCTTATATGTGATGCAATCAAATGAGTTCATATTGATTGTCATCCTCTATGTTGATGATTTGATCATCTTAACCAATACATTGAAGATGATGGATTGGTTGAAGATAAAGTTAGAAAAGGAGTATGAAATGAGTGATTTGGGAGAGCTTCACTATTGTTTAGGAGTGGAGTTTGTAAGAGATCGTACTAAGAAGACCATTACAATGAGCCAAAGTAAGTAAATTGAAGAAGTATTGAAACGATTCAACATGGAAGAGTGTAAGCCTATTGGAACACCATTGGAGTTAAATTTGAAGTTGATAAAGCTCACGGATGAAGATTTTGCTGAAGTTGAAGGTCAAATACAAGGTGTTCCATATAAGGTAGCAATGGGCTCACTTATGTATGCAATGGTTGGCACAAGGGTGGATCTTGCATATGTGATGAGTGTTGTGAGTCAACACATGTCAAGGGCTGGACCAATCTATTGGACCACCATCAAAAGGATCATGAGGTACTTAAAAGACACTTTGAACTTCAAATTATGTCTTGCAAGTGATAACATTAGTTTGCATGGTTATTGTTATGCGGATTGGGTTGGAGATGCAAATGTTAGAAGGTCAATAATGGGATATGTATTCTTTGTTGGAGTGGGAGCAATTTCATGGAATTGTAAGAGACAACCAACAATTGCAAGGTCAATAATAGAGGCGGAGTATATGGTAGCAAGCCATGGTGTAATGGAGGCAATATGGTTAAGACAACTTTTGGAGGATATTGGAGATGTGTAAATAGAAGCAACTCTAATGGAGGTAATATGATTAAGACAACTTTTGGAGGATATTGGAGATGTGTAAATAGAAGCAACTCTAATGGAGTGTGACAATCAAGGATATCTTATATTTGTAAAGAATCCAAAGCATCATTCAAGGACCAAGCACATTGACATTCAACATCACTTTATAAGAGAGAAGATTGAAATGAGAGTGATTGATATGAAGTATTGTGCAACGAAAGATATGCTTACTGATTTGTTGACAAAGGCATTAGTAAAGCATAAACACCACATGTTGACAAAGGGATTAGGCTTAAAAGATATTTGACCAATAGCAAAGTGGGAGTATTAAAATAAAAGTAGAAAATATTATCTTATATAAGATATTACCTTGGATAAGTTGCTAGTGGTCAAAGGTTTGACTCTTGGTATATGGTAAGAACATCCAATGGATAGAGGACAAAGTCATGGACCAAGAGTCAAAGACAAAAGGATAAAGTATTAACAAGGGAATATCCAAAGACTAAGTATGAGTCATTAGTATGTGTCATAGGATACCCTCAAAGTTCGTGAAATGCCAAAAGATCCTAAGAGCATGTGTGTAAGATGTAAGAGTAATTAGTATTGGATATAGGATACTCTTGGGACTTGTGAGATGCCAAAAGGATCCTAGGGCCGTGTATATAAAAGTCAAAGAGTGGACGTTGTCTTTTAGGGCAGCAACTATCATCTATAAGTAATAGGTGTTGGAAGTGAGAGATATCTTACTCCATACTCTCTTTATATACAACCTTGTTGATGCTAAGTGTTGTGTCTTCTAAATACTTGTTTTCTTAATAGTTCAACATGATCTTTATTGTAGTAATATAAGTTTGGTCTTTCCTATCTTTTTTCAATCATTTTTTCTAACTGGGGCTACAAATACTTTCAAGAATGAATTCAAATTGTAGAATAATTATGAATCTTTTTCTATCAAAAGTGTAAATCAAAAGAGAGTACTTCTTGATCGAACTGCATCTATGAATCTAACTTGAGTAAATCTATTGGAGTATTAGAAAAGATGCAACCTTAAATAGAGCTTGATTTTTTGCAAAAATCTTTAAAATTTTGATCTTGTTCCATCAAACTTTTCAAGCATACTAATTCTTGTCTCTCTTAATCTTATAGAAGTGAGACTTCCTGAATTTGGTTGTGAAGTTGATTTACTTACTTCTTTTAATTACACAATTTCTTGGCATAGACTCTGTATTTTTTTAATATATGCAAGAATAGTACCTCTATGATTCATGTAGAAATACATAATTTTTTATTTTTAAAATATTAATAAGCTTGTGGAGATTTATAATAGTTACAAATATATTCTTAATTTTACTAAGAATAGAAATTATAATCTTTTTTAACTATAGATAAGTCAAAAAAATTCAAAAGTTAAATTAAAAGAAGAGAAGTTGCAATCTTTAATATTAAATAAAAATTTCTACTAAGAAGTGTAATCCATTCGTTTTTTTTAAAAAAAAAAATCAATGTTAAAAAATAAAACTATTTATTTAAAGGTGGATACTCCGCAACCTTCAAATATAATCCATTCACTTCTAAGGCAAAACAAGAATAATAAGTTAGCATTCTTGTCAAACTATTAAAGACATGAATCTTGAATGCTGTCATTGCATGTTGATTTTGCTATGTAGAAACAATGTGGATTTTGTCTCATCTTTTTGTCTTGGGACAATTGAGCTAATTTTTTTAGGTATAGAGTCAATTGAGTTAGGCTTCTCAATATCAACCAATAAAAGGATTTAAAGATGTATTCTCCTACCTTGTCTCCTACTTAGAAAGATTCATTTATAAGAGTTTTTTCTCTATAATAAAGATCAGTGTCAAAATTAATGAAAATAGCAATAATGAAATCCCAAAATGTATGACCAATTAATGGACAAGAATGATAGCACAGAGATAATGAACCAAGCATTGTGAATGAAAAAGGATCTCCGAAGGTGAGAGAATAATCCCCGATCACAGGTAGGGAGGGAGGGCGGGAGGCATTCATTCATTCGTTTATTAATTCATCCATCCATTTATCTCTCTCATAAGGGATGAAGGAGTCGAGTCTAGCGAGCACCAGTGGCAGTGTCGGTGGAGGAGCGCAGCATGGCATCAGTAGTCAGTTTCCTTGTGCCATGCCCTGCACTGCTCTGCTGCTCTCCCACCGAGCGCGTCTGCTTCTTCTTTTTCTTCTTCCAGACTCTCTCGTTCCGGTGCCCGGCTGGTCTCACCCATGGCCTCGTCGGTTTTCCTCAGATTTTCTGAACGTGGATGGATACCCGTGACTGTGACGATGTATCAGACAGGCGGTGACGCTCCGTTTTCTCGCTTTCTTTTCTCGTCCACCTTGGATCTCCTGAGGCATCTATGGAGGCATGCCTGATCCTCAGTTATAGAAATTAGTATGGAGTAAGTATGGTTTGATCGGAATGGGAGGTGTTGCGGCGTTGAGCATGGGGATATTCGAGATGTGGCTGTTTGCATTGAGGTTTGAGCGACTTTAGCTGATGCAGATGCGCAGGCATTTGGACGAGGTCAGCTGATGTATCGGATGACGTGGTCGAATGTTTGTTTGGTTAGAATGCCGGCTGCGCGGACGTACCCGGCAATGACAAAGCACGTCGTGTTTTGTGCTTGGCAGGTGTGGCGGTAGGCCTTGATGCGAGGTTGTGACCTGTACTAAATCTTGCTGGGAATGATGAATTGAAGTGCGGTGCATCTTTAAGATGTGTGGCTGGAATGTGTGTAGCCCTACTACTGAGAAAGGTATCCGAAGGAGTCTAGGGCCCTCAGTCTTTACAGCTGAGTAAGAGCAGGGACAGAGAATATCAAGCTGGACTGGGAGATGGCTTAAGAGTTGGATAAAATGTCGCCTGCATGCTCCCTACCCGGGCTACTGGGGGTAAACGGAAGCGTTGGCGGCGATGGAGTTCTCAATTTAGACATATTGCAGATGCATTCCAATGGCAGCCATGCCGTTTGCGTCGGCGAGAGTTCTTCCAAAGGCTCTCAATCCCTTACCTTCGATACCACCACGGATGCTGACGGCGAGGGGAGCACGCCCTGCGAGCGAGAGATTCCCAAGGTGGTCACTGTATTAGCCTCGGTGCTTGACCGTCTTGTTGCCAGTAACGAGCAGTTCGCCACTACACCATCCCAACCAAGCGTGTATAACCCTAAGACGCTTACTATATTTCACGGCCTGCGTGCGCCTAGCATCAGCATTGCTAAGTACTTGGAACGCATCTTCAAGTACACAAATTGTAGCGCATCGTGCTTTGTTGTTGGATATGTCTTCATTGATCGTCTCATCCACCAGCAGCCTGAATTGCTCGTCACTTCTCTCAACGTGCATCGGCTGCTGGTTACGAGTGTGATGGTGGCCACCAAAATCCTCGATGATGTGTAAGTGTCAGCAACTGCTTGTCACATTCTTGCTATTATACATTGTCGGGTATTTAGTGAGGTTTGGCACAACTATTTTTGCTATCTTCTTAAACTTCGTCTTATTGGTTTTTGCGTAATCTTGAGGGGTGACGGCGTGTACTATGTTAGCTTACAGCTGTGAGTGGGCCTGTCACTTGATGTGACCATTGCCAACTCAGTAGACTGGAGGTTACATTCACAACAGAGTATTGAGACTTTTGTGCATTTCCATGAGTATCGGCAGGTGCTATCTATCTCACTTCTAGCAGCTGTGATATTGCTATTACATGTTGAAGTGAACCTTGTGCAGGCACTTCAACAATGCTTTTTTCGCCCGAGGGGGAGGTGTCAGCGTGAGTGAGCTGAATAGATTGGAACTTGAGTTTCTGTTTCGATTAGGCTTTAGGCTCACTGTGACAGTCAGTTTATTTGAGAGCTATTGCTCTTATCTTGAAAAGGAGGTGATGGCTATCGAGAAGAAGATGGAACATCTAGAACGAAGCCTGCCCGCATTCGGTAGTGCCTCCACAAGTCCTGAAGGGAAGACACCTATGCACTGGAAAAAAGCATCTTCAGGACGTCAAGGAGAGCCATTTGATCCAAATCACCTTCAAGCAGAATATGACCATACTTTTTCTAGAATGATGACTAGGGAGGTGTCTCCAAGTTGAAATTCCTTCCTCTCTTTATGGCTAAGATGTTAAGTTTGATATGAAAGAGATCATGACACTTGCATCAGTGATGTTTGGGGAGATGGTTTTCTTCAATTGTTGCTCTATGGAAATCGTAGCTACGCATTCAAGTTGACCATTTCTTTCAAGAATGAATCAGTGGAAATAAGTGCTTTGAGTGTTGTGTTCTCATTGATTATAAGCACTTTTGGTGCAGGCAATGCAATATGATGAGACCCCTGCAAAGATTTTTTAATCATTAAAGTCACAACTTGGGACAAAGTCGATTATCGAGTTTGAGAACACCTGTCATACTATCACCTCATTTGTTGTCGAAGGTGTGGTATTCAGTAGTAACAGAGTTGTATCTATCTCAAATGCCTGAAGGAGGTTTTTCTAGATTCGCTTCTTCCTGGTCCTCACTTTCAAAGGACAGTTCACTCTTAATCCTGTTCTCACTTGAAACAATGTGTTGATGTAAATCTAAATTTAACCCCTTACACAGAAGATATCTGTTGGGAAGACTGAGTTTCTGTTTATCCAGTTAACATTTACTTTGAATGTATGTGAAATGAACTAAGTATGGAGCTGTTTTGATTAATCCTATTTCTCCAGTCCCTGATGCCTCTGGTAACAAATGCAAGGACACTGATTTTGGTGGTACAAGGGCGGGTGGGGTTTTACAGACTGAATCTGGAGCCACTGGGTATCTGCGAGTTGGTACCTTAATTTAGTTACATAAACAATGGTAGCACGACTGGTACTGAGGTAACGAGTCGTGCCACCGTTGCTTGGGTCGTTGGTGACTTGATCTGATTCGCGGCATGTTGATCCTCCTATAAACGTGTAGATTGGAAGCATCCTTCTATTCTACAGCTTTGGTAGTTACTGTATAATTGAAACAAGTACCTGTCGGTGAAGTGAAATATTTGAATACTTTCAAATGTCATTCAAATTACTACTCTACTTATTTGTTTGACTTATAATGATAAATTAGAGTAGAATGAAGATGGAACAGTAACTTTGAAAGGTTTTAAAATAATATTTATTGTAACTCCTTTTTGATGTAATTTAAATTATCTAGAACTATAAATATTTATGCATATTTTTAAATGTACTGAATTTTACATTAAGTAAGTAGAATATTAATACAAATTTTTTATGTGATATACTCTATTATTCTTTTTTATTTAAAAATTTATTATAACAAAGATTGATTAAAAGATTTATAGGTTATTTCTTGAAATTATGGATTTGTTTAAAAAATTAGATTATTATCTTGAAGATACTTTTTTTCTAGTTACAATTTATGTTGATAATTAGGACTTTAAGTACCGTATGTCATAATGTGTTTTGAATTGCGTCCAAATTTGTTGAAAATTTTCTTTATCACAATTTTTATTTAATATTAAATATTAGTTTTAAAAGTAACAAGGCTTATTAGATTTCTTACCTTCATAATTTTAGTAGATCAAGAAAAAATAATTTAATGCATAATCAATAATAAATTATTCTTCATACTAAGTATTTATATCTTTTAGCTATAAATTATAATTTTTATATCTTTGTATGATTTTATAATTTTTTAAAATACAATGATAAGTCCTATTCATAAAACTAAAGACAACTTGTATAATGATTTTAATACACTTGCTTTCATGACATTCTTCTTTATTTTCAGATATGTAAATATATTCTAAAAGATAGGAAAATTATGAATATTTTAGTCTAAACATAAGTTTTTTAATTTTGAAACATTTTAAATGTAATAAAATTTTAGAATTAATTTCAAAAACTTATTATTTAAAAAATAATAAATTACAACCCTTATAATATTCAAATCAAATAAAGATAATTGATACTTTGGAAACAATATTGAACTTAGAAACTTCATCTACAAGCCTTGTAGTTTTTAAAATGAATTTACATATCTATTTTATTAACTAATATATTGTTAAGGATAAAAACTTGATGAAGTTAAATAAATAAATGAGAATTTTCTCAAAAAAATATGACAAAATAGAAATATATATATATTAAAAAAAATTAGAATGGCTATTTCAAAAAAATAAAAAAACTAGAAATCTTTAAAATTAAATTAGAAGCATGAAAAGAATTGAAAAAAGTAAAGAAGACTTCATTCTTCCATCTATATATACTATCTACCTAAGAACTATATAACAACATTTTATAGGACCTCTAACACATGTTTAATTTATAAGACATATATCTTAATTTAGAAGATAAGTTTCTTATAATTGTACCATATTATTAGCTTATATCACAAGTCACCAATATGTGTGATACATGGCTAACTTGTTCGCCAAGAGTTTAACCTACCAATTACCTATAGACATGTATAAAATTGAAATCAAGTCTATGAAGCCTCTAGAAAGCTTATCCATAAGATATTATCAAATCAACCTACTTTTATCTACTTCTATCTATTCATATCATCTAAGTAACTATAAGTATATCTATGATATTATATCCTTTTTTATAAATAAGTTTCTTGAGGAGCAATGATTATATGTTGAAGAAGTCTAAGGTGGAAAAAATTATATCTGCCACATATTCTAATTATTGTTTCTATTGAAGAAAAAAAACTTTGAAATCACTAATACATGGCATGACTAAGGTTGCTCACAAAGAAAGTATAGAATAAGATATCTCTCACTTCCAACACCCATTACTTATAGGTGGTGGCTATTGTCCTAATAGACAATTTCCATCCTTAAATGAATATATCCATCCAATATTCTATTAAAAATATCCATATCTATCTTATTTATTATAAAATATATTTTTAGCATACTTTTTATATCTTTAAGATTCTTTGTCCATTCATCTATTTTATCTCTTGGCCTCTTTACATACCAAAAACCAATTCTTTGATCAATAGCAATATTTAAAATAATATCTTCTACAATCTAACTTATTTTATTTTTATCTTTATTTACTTATTTTAATACCCCTATTTTACTATTAGTCAAAGACTTTCAATTCTAATGTCTTAGTTAACATATGATGTGTATTCTTTACTAATGCATTTGTCAACAAATCAACAAGTATATCTTCTATTGTATAATACTTCATATCAATTACTTCCATTTCAATTTTCTCTTTTATGAAGTAATGTTGAATGTCAATGTGCTTGGTCTTTGAATGATACTTTGGATTCTTTGCAAATCTAAGACATTCTTAACTATCATACTTCATAAAAGTTGCTTCTATTTATACTATTTTAATATCTTCTAAAAGTTATTTTAGCTACATTACCTCTATTGTACCATGGCTTACTACGATATAATCCACATCCATTATTGATCTTGCAATTCCATGAAATAGCTCTCATTCTAATAAAAAAATCATATGCCATTTTTGACCTTTTATGATTTGCATCTCTAGCCTAATTTGCATGACAATAATCATACAAAGTAATGTTATTACTTCCAAGACATAATTTAAAATATAAAAAGCATATTAAGTACATCATGATCTTTTTGATGGTTGCTTAATAGATTGATTTAGCCTTCAACATGTACTGGCTAGCAACACTCATTACATATATAAGATTCATCCTTGTGCTAACTATTACATACATAAGTAAGTCCACTGTTACCTTGTATGGAACACCTTGTATTTGACCTTCAAATTTAACATATTCTTTATTTGTTGTTATGTAATAACATGACTATATAGTGAAAAATAAAAATATGGATGTTACTATAGAATAACTTATTAAAAAGATATAATAAAAAAGTAAAGATAAATGATAGAAAGATAATAAAAGATTTAATCTTAATATTGCTTTTTTATAGAAGGAACTTCTATTTACATTGTATAGGCATAAATGAGCCAAATCAAAGTAAATGAGGTAAGAAATTAATATAGGCATGTTTGAAAGAAAGTTAATTATAGGATAAAACAAAACTTACATCAAATTATCAAAAATTGATACCTAAAGAAGATTGGTTGTCAACTTGGATCAAAATCAGACCCTCAAGCATAAAAGTAAATCTATATAGCACCTTTGAGATTTTTTGGTATATTAAAGAATGGAATTTGAAAGTAGACTTAAAAAAAGAATTTTGGCATTGATTTTATATCAATTGAATTAATATTGAGGTTTTGAGGGATTTTTGAAATTAGTGATATTCTTGTGGTATGTGTATAAGTGAATTTTGGGCAATGCATTGGTACACTAGTTATGAATGTGTATCAAATTTTGAAGTCAATCAAAAAGTATAAAGGTTTTTGTAGATTGAAGTCTTAAAAATTGGAGTTTGAAGGTAAATGAGTGTTTTTAAGATCTTCAGCGATCTATTAATTAGATTGAAGTGAATTTTTTTTGTACACACACCAGACTTGATTTTTAATATTTAAGTAGAATTTAAGAGCAATTCAATGGATCAAAAAGGAGGTATTAGTGCTAGAAGTTCAACATTCAGCTTGGAATAGGAGGTTGCTCAACACCCAATTGAATTATCTTATATTTCTCTCAATTAGAAAGTACAATTAATTTCATCTTTCTTGTCCTTATTTTTAACTAAGATGTTAAGAAGTGTTCAAATTTTGAGTTGATATCAACAATTTGATCATTAATTTTTGAGGTTCCAATTTGTTATAGGATTTGGTTTAGGATTTGTCTATGATTTGGTTAGGGCTTAAGATTTAATCTAAGATTTTATTAGGATTTAGAATATTATTAAAGTTTCGTTAAGATTTGATATAGGATTTGATTAAGATTCAATTATAATTTTAATTAGGATTATATTAAGATTTTTATTTTTAGTATTTAAAAAAAAATTATTATTTTTTAAAAGATTTTTATTTCTAATATTTCTTTAAGATTATTTTTATTTTTTAAAAGATTTATTTTTATATTTCTTTAAGATTTCTTATTATTTTTCTTTGGAATTAGTTTGGAACTTCTTTGTATTTCTTTTATAAATTCTTTTAAATTTATTTTAGATTGGTTAAAGTTCAATGAATATTATTAAGGTCTACTTAAGGTTTTTTAAGATTTGATTAGATTTGGTAGGATTGTTGTTATATTTCTACTTACCTTCCACAATTAAGCACCTTGTACATTTTTAAGTAAGAATACATATAATACAATATATTTGATGAATCCAATATAAAATCTTGATGTAACAAGGTATAAATAAGAGATTTTTATTATTGAAACATAAAAATAGATAGTTAGAACCATATTTGAGAAGTTATGGAAGTTTCTAGAATTGAGGTTAGATTAGT